AGCGCTGGCGTTCCTCACAGCGCATATGTCCACAACAATGCTCGTGTACACAACAACAGTGTCTGAGTACACGACAACGGATGCGTACACCGCAGCGCCCGTGTACACGCATCAGTTTCTGCGTGGACCGCAGCGTGGACCACAGCGCCTGCGTACAACGCGAAGCATGTGCAACCACACCAACTGTGTGCACCGCAGCGCATGGCGCAACCACCACAATGCCTGTTTACACCACGAAACCGATGTACACCCCCACGGCCCCGACGGGGCAACAAATACGGAAAGTCGTGGCAGGCTCAAACCCATCAAAATGAATATACAAGTTATGTGTGGTGATTGCACGATCCCCTGTACTCTGGGGCCCGCAGTGCCTGCGTACATCAAAGCGGCTGTGAACACCGCAGCGCTGGCAAACAACATGCACGTGAGCAGAACAACGCCTGTGTAACACACACCACTGGCAGCTACGAGCGCCGCGTTACGAGCGCCAAACCAATGCGTTTGAACAGCAGAGCGACATTGCGTCCCTGAGACCACCCCGAGCGCGTGAACGCCGAGATGCTTCGCGCAAGCCACATCATGCCCGTGAAAACTACAGCATGCCTGCTAGCACCACTGCGTGCCTGCGAACACCACATAAACCTGCGACCGTCACAAGACGTCCATGGCCGCCACGGGACGCCACCCTTGAGGTGATCGGGGGGGGGGAAGGCGGGGCCGATCACGCCTGTTATCGCCCACGTGGAAAAATCCTTCAATATGCGGGACATCCGGCTACACGTCCCCCCACCCCGAAACATAAGAATGGTATGTTGCGCTCACCGACAACAGCGAGACAACTTTCCCACGACAGTCGTGGCAGACCTGGCAAGGAAAGAGAATTCAGCCAAACCAAACATGTCATTGTGATGCCACCCGTCGCAAGCCATGTTGTCCAGAACTGGTTGCCTGAGCACGTGCGACTGCCCTGCGAACGCCACATCACACAACACCACACAAACAACCGTCATGACCTCAACGCAACATTCACGACAACATCACCAGAACATGGGGGCCGAACGGTCTTACACCATCCCTGGCTGCGCGGGAAAAATGGAAAGGGCGTGGCCCAATTTATTTTTGTTTGTGGACGGCTGTTGCCGTGGTCGGGTGATCATTCATATGAAACTGTTAGCCACCGGTGGGCCCTAAACAGCGTGATTGTAAGAATGTGTGTTGCACCGTGAATGTGTGATGTTTTACGTATTGCAATACATGATAGCAACAACTGTTGAACAACAAATGTGAAACCCACAAGATAGAATTCATGTTGCGCAATACGTATGCGTGTGCAGCCCATGTGGTGCAAGCTAAGGTGTGCAATCTTTGAGGGGCACTTTTGTGGAGCACCATGCATGGTGCAATCCATGTGGTGCTATCTACGTTGTGCGACACATATGGTGATATCGAAGCCGTACATCCAATGTTATGCAATGCAGGTTGTGCAATCTATGTGGTGGAATCTGTGGTGTGTTTCCTACGAGGGGCAACCAATGTGGCGCAATTACTTTTGGAAAAGCGAGCTGGCAAATTCCACGCCACTGCAAACATCCAAACCACCCACCCACAAGTTGGATTGCAAAAGCCATGCGGCGGCGATTGCGATGTGTGCTTGGCGTTGGCCAGTGCATCTCTGCGGCCGCGCTGGCCCAAGCATGCTCGCGCGCGCAGTGACCAGGTAGTCTGGCGAGACCGACGCGGCCGCGGTGGCGCTGACCGCTGGGCACTTTCAGGCGGGCATTCCAACGCGAATCGGTGACTTGGGCGGGCGCGGTATCATGGCGACGCCGATAAAGGTAGACGATATGATGAGTATAGCGATGATCTTGACGATGGTGGCGATGACGACGGCAAGGCCAAAGACGGCGCCGATGTTGATAACGCCCGCCGATAGCGATGACAATGTCCTCGCGTCGGCGATGAAGGCTTTCGAAAGAATTCGTCAAGCGCGCGAAGCCGACGCGCGCGAAAGGCCCGCGCAGTATTATTTGATACGGATCGTGCCTCCCAGCACGCGCGCAAGGGCGCACGAAAGAGTTCGACATGCGGCGCGAGAGGCCCGTTTGGCATAAATGAATGAGAACGTTGGAAAACCTACGGTTCATTCTTCTTAACAATCCGTAAGACCGCCAACGCATGTTTTTATTGAAAAAGCGGATGTGGCAAAACCGTGCGTTGTTTATTTGTTATCCAGACCTTCGCTTTCGAATCCCATGCGGAAACCAAGATTATTGAATTCTTTTGTTCCGGCATGCACGCGCGACGACGCGCGCGTGCGCACGTCGTCCCGTTTTTTGCACGTGATTTGTGCGACGACACGCGCGCAAGGGCGTTCGAGTGATTTCGACACGCGCGCGCGCGAAAAGGCCCGTTTGGTAGCATGTTATGAACATGTAGAACAAAAACGCATGGTTTTCTTAGAAATTCGCAAGAGCGCGGGCCCATGTTTTTTGTTTTCAACCCCCGATTTTTGAAATACTTACGACACAAGAGGTTGCTCTTATGAAGTAAAAACCGGCATGCGCGCGCGACCACGCGCGCGTGCGCACATTGTATATTTTGTGCAAAGGACTCTTGAACACATATGATGTTTGATAAACGAATGCGCGCAGAACATGTGTTGCGGAGGATGGCGGGGGGGGGGAAGTCGATACAGGCTCGGCTGGCGTGGTATGAGTTGATATGTAAAACGGACAAAGGGTCATCACCAGATGCGTTTTACATATCGCGGCAGGGGATCGTTAACTCCACCCTCCACCCTCGGGGAGGGGGGGATCTATGATTCTTTTAGTCCAATACTCGCGCAATCATCCCACCCTCCCACCCGCAACGTAGTTTGCAAAGCTCCTGCGGCGGCGATTGCGGTAACTATTCGGCGCTAGCTGGCGCATCGCCGCGGGCGCGCCTGCGCGCGAACGCTCTCGCAAAAAACCGCCAAATAGTCTGGCGCGACCGACGCGGCCGTGGTAGTGCTGACCGCTGTGGATTTCCCAGCGCGTCCCGCAGGCCGCGATGACGCGCGAGCACTTCAATGCCAGGCGGTGGCTCGGGCAGGCACGATATCAAGGCGACGCCGACTACGGTGAACATGATGATGATGGTAACGATGCTGGCGGCGACGATGGCAATGACGACGACAAGGCCAATGGAGGCGTCGATGCTGTTCCCGCCGATGTTGCGGATGATGAAGATGCTGGTGATGATGATGGTGGTCATGATGATGATGATGGTGATGAAGATGATGACGATGATGACGGTGATGATGATGATGATGATGACGATGATGATGATGATGATGATGATAATGATGCTGATGATGATGATGATGGTGCCCGCGTGTCGGCGACGGAGGTACTGTAAGGATGTCGATACGCGCGCGCGGCCGATGCGCGCGACTGGCCCTGATGATGTCAATTGAAAGGATCGCGCCCTCCCCCGCTCCAGCCCTCTCCCCGCAGCACGCGCGCAAAAATCTTCGAATGATTTCGACATGCGCTCCCTTTTGTTCGCATGGTGGTCGTAAGTGTTCGCAACACCACACGAGTGCAAACTCAAGTGACTGATTTATGTTAGCACACGCGCGACAGAACGCGCGCGCACTTTGTCCCATCTAGAGCACTGAACCCTTGCAAATGGATTGTTTTTGATTCACGAATGTGCGCGCGTACTGCGGTTGGGCAAAGATGATGGGCAGAGGAGCCCGGCCCGGCTGGGATGGCGTGAATTCATATCTTAAACGAACGGTGGGACTGAATCGACTGTAAATAAGTACCCTGCACATCCCCAGGGTGTACCGATAATCCGGGGGGGGGTCCGATTCCTTCTCGGAAAAAAAAACCTACGTGGTCCAATTCACACTGCCGAACTTAAACCAGTCAACCCCACTGTTCGCGCAATCGTCTCACCCGCCCGCCCGCAACTTGACTTGCAAAACGCATGCGGCGGCGATTGCGATGACTGATCGGCGCTGGCTGGCGCATCGCTGCGGCCGCGCTGGCGCGCGCACGCTCGCGCGCACAGCGGCCAGCCAGTCTGGCGCGACCGACGTGGCCGTGGTGGCGCGAACTGCCATCAATGTGCGAAACCTATGTGATGCAACATATGTTAGGCCATCTACGAGGTGACCCTATGTGGTGCAATTCATGTGGTGCAAAATGTAATGTGCAAACTGTGTGGAGCTATCTGCATGATGCGAAACGACGGGGCGGCGACGGGGCGGCGACCGCGACAACATAGCTGCCAGACCGCCACACTGGTCCAGATAACGGGCGGCGAGAACGCAGCGACGGGACGGCGACGGCGAAAACACAACCGCTAGACCGCCTCCGTGGCCCAAACAACGGGCGGCGACGAGGCGGCGACTGCGACAACGAAGCCGCCATCCCGCCACACCAGCCCAGACGACGGGCGGCGACGAGGCGGCGACGCGGCGGCGACGGCGACGACAGACCACCACACCAGGCCAGTTACTCGGAAAAGAAAGATCAACACCCTATGTGCAAGAACTGTTTGGGGAATAACTGTTGCTGATCCCCCCTCAAAATTCACCTTGTGCTTTTCACTTGAAGCGTCCCTTCCGGGGCTCGCACCCTGTTTTTTGACGAGGGAAACTCTTGAGCCGCAGACTGGGTCGTTGGCCCCCGGTTTACAACAACAGCGGCTCCCCCTTGATACTTCCCCACACTGTACTCAAAGTCGCGCTCTCGCGCGGGAGTTCATCACAATGTGTCACAGAATTGCGCTCTCGCGTGAGACATCCTCCCAATTCATTGAGACGCCACGCCCTCGACATTGAGAAATCACGCTCTCGCTCTGGACTTCCTCGCAGCCCACCCGCGACTCGCCCGCTACCCACCCACGACCCACCCCGCGCCCTTCCCCTCACAAATATCCGCAATTGCGGCGTGCTGCATAGTGCCCCTCCATTCGGCATGCCTCCTTACTGCTTGGCCGCACTGGACTCACAGGTCAGTCTTGCCGAGGCCTCACGTTGCCATCATCGTCAAGGTCTGGGTCCTCCTCTTCTTCCTCGTCCTCTGGGCGCAGCAATTGGCAGAGTGGACCAAGGTCTAGTACTGCAAATGACGCCTCTGGAGAAGCAGCCAACCTCGAGCCATGCAGCTGTCCGATGACATGGTCGAGGGACACCAAACGCAGAACGCACGGTTTGCATCCATCACGCCACTAGTGAGCAACTACCAGTCCGACCGGACTGGACCCACCAGCCAACCTAGTGGGTTCGGATACTCTCTGAAAACATGGAACAACCAATGTCCGCGAAACGGTGAATACACATCCCCCACATCTCTGCGATCGTGCACCCACCCTCCATTATCCCCACGACGTGCCCTCGGTGGGACCCCACCTTTCAACGAGACAAATCCATCAACACCGAATCGGGAAGTCGGATCGAATCGGAATGGGCGTCAGATCGGGCCGCATCGACGAGGAGCCGAACTCGACCCGAAACGGCCGCGCCAGGATGCACAACGAACAGCGCCGTGCAATCATCCGTCCGCATCGGGTCGTCAGAATAACCTGAGTCGAGCCGCGTCGGGTCGGCTGGAATCGACATCGGATCGCATCGAGTCGAGTCCGCATCGGATCGGCTCCTGGCGGCTGCGGTCTCCTGGCCCCCGCTTCAACCTCGGGGCCAAGGAGCAGATGGACACCCGCACCGCACGCTGTCGGGCACGCGGCGGGCTGTCCACCCCCAACCGCCCGCGGTGCTCCAGCAGGCTGCAGGAATCGGAAAAGTGCAGGCCTCAAGCATGCAGGATCGCGGGAGTGGGGATGCTGTCTTGTGGGATTGGCGCTTCGCCCGACCTGGGGGCCTCCCAGGCACTGCTGGTCCAGGCAACGGCCAAAATGCGGTCGGAGAAATGTGCGCAAGCTGGAACTGCTAGCCGGACTCGGAATCCAACTGTGTCCCACCATTATGTCGGGCATGTCCCCCTACAGGCGGATTCGGGCCTAAACTCAAAACATACTAAAAAAAAAACTCAAACATAGTCAAAAGATAACCGAAACATCGTCCCCTGACTATTTTTGGGGACTATTTTTGAACATTCCTCCTGTAGAGGGACACGCCCGACTTAGTCCAACCACCCCTGGCTCCAGACCTCTGCTCAGTGCGACTGAGTGCAAGAGTGCGGCCTCTGGGGGGAGAACCCACCCGCTCGAAACAGGCGCCAGAAAACAGCCAAGCTCTGCTCCATGGGGGGGGGGGGCCGGCCGAAGGGGGGTTGGGGGGCCCGCGCCGATCGGCAAAACAATGAATCAAGAAACGATCTCCATCTCCCCCCTCTGCATGGCAGCGTGCGCCGGCCCTCCGCCGCCTTCCCACGGGCGCTCGCCAGCCTGCCGACGGCGGGAGGGCACCTCTTCGGCGCTGCCCCCGCTGCCCGGCCGCCGAGCCCGCGGGCATGCCGTCGAGCATCCCGCGGGGGGAGGGCGTCACACAACAGAACCGTTCCCCCCTGCCGCTCTCTTGGTCGTGGCCTTCGCCCGCATGGGCTCTCCGTGACCCCGTCGCCCCCGACGGGAGACAGCCGGGGGCCGTTCCGCGAGGGCGCTGGACCTCTCGGACGGCCCGCGCCCCCACCCCCAGGGCCTCCCGGGCTGCACAGGGTGCTCCCAGGAGAGCCTCCTCCGCCTCCGCCGCCGCCTCCTCCTCCTCCTCCTCCTCCTCCTCTTCCTCTTCCTCCTCCTCCTCCTCCTCCTCCTCCTCCCTCCCTCCTCCTGTTCCTCCTCCTGTTCCTCCTCCGTTCCTCCTCCTCCTCCTCCTCCTCCTCCTCCTCCTCCTCCTCCTCCTCCTCATCATGTTCCTCTTCTTTCTCTCCTGCTCCTCCTCCTCCTTCTCCTCCTCCTCCTCCTCCTCCTCCTCCTCCTCCTCCTCCTCGTCACTCCTCGCTCCTCCTGTTGCTGCCTCCTCCTGCCAGGGCCGCGGGCCCTGGCCCCTCTCCCCAGGTGGACTTCCAATGGCTTCCCCGCGCCCCCATCCCGGGCCCTTGCCCCGTGTTGGCCCCTGAACACTGCATAGGCCGCTGACGCTCTGAGTGGCCGAGGATGCTCGGAGGGTGCAGGAGCACACCAGCTGAGCACGATCACAAACCTTGGCCACGCGCACCTGGGGCCCAAGATCTGTGTGTACGACCGGCTGGCCACACGAGCGCCAATCCTCGGTCCAGGATGCGGCTGGCAATTTCGGTGTGCGCTCACAGCAGCAGGAACTAGCCAGTGGCACACCAGGCTCTAGATCGGGCAACGACCAGGGGCCCAAAACGCATCAGCACGGAGCAGGTATTCAGCTGGCGTGCTGCGGGGCTGGGACAGCCATCGCGCACTCCCGAGCACTGCCTGCAGCAGGCGGCATGCCGTGTGCCTGCGTCGAGCACGGCCAGACCCCGAGTAGAGTGCGCACCTTGCGCTCCCCGGGACAAGAGGTGCCCACGTGCACGCCAGCTAAGTGCTGGCTTCGACCAAGATGATGGGCCGAGCCGAGAGGCATGAGCACGGAAACTGGGACCATGCTACACTTGGGCAAGCTCGGAGCAGGTCCAAAGCCGACTGCCTCTGAAAACAGGGCTGCCGTCGCGCGCGCCGTCGCCCCGAGCCAGGGTGCCAGCCTCGACCGACGCACGAGAAAACTCGCCTCTTGCGAACAGTATACACCCTGCGAAATGCTTAAGAAATCATGGGTTTAGAAATTCATAGTCTCAGAACTTGAAAAAAAACCAAACATTTCTATCAAAATCGTGGGAATTACATTGAAAGCTTAAGAATAATCGAGACTCTGGACGAAAATTTAGGTTTTCTTAAGCATCGCCTACAGTGTATTCCCTCTCTGCCTGGGGACTACATGGCTGGGGCGGCCGCAGGTGCGCGGTCTAGCTGCGCGCGTCCTCGTCCTCGTCGTCCTCGTTGAAGGTATCCCACGGGATGTCGTAAATTCTTAGCACGGGCTTGATCGGATCCTTCATGATCAAGTACTTGCCTGGAGGCATCAGCGACAAAGAACTGCTGGAGCAGCGAGCGCGGAGAAGGAAGACGTCGCACTGCAGCGACCAAACATGCATGGGGCTCCACAGATCGTAGGACATGCGCGTATGTCCGCTCAGTGTGCTTCCCACTCCAACGCTCAGCGCGCCATCCATGGCACACAATGAAAAGGGAGGGGCTGGGGCAACAATAACGACCTGGCAACTGTGCGTGCATGGGGACGGCGACAGAGAGGGTGATGGGGTGACGCTTCTCATGGCCGATCAATCCAGGTCGGCCTAGTACTTGAGGGGCCGAATGCGCGGATCCTGGTGCGTGCCTGCTGCCATAGAAGTGGGGCCGTACTTCACGCAGCCTCGGTGCAAGCCTCGGAGGTGGCACCCTGACCTGCCAGACCTACCTATAGTTGGATCGCTCGGACTAGCAAACTGCTACCGCAACACGATAAACCCTACTCGCAGTCACCGCGCGAGTGCATCCCGTGCCTCAGGGCCACAGACCTAATAATCCGATGTTCAGGGATGAGGGCGTCATGCAAGTACCTAGCACCCCGCAGATGCGGATAAGAGTGAGGGGGCGGCGAGAACGTCGGCAGCCTGCGAGGCTGTGAAAAGCCCGCCGCAAGCGCCAATTCTCTCGTTGGATCAATGTGGGTGCGTCGCGGGGTGGGTCGCGGGTGGATCGCGGGTGGGTCGCGGGCGGGTCGCAAAGTGGTCGGGGGTGGGGGGGGTCGCGGGGTGGGTCGCGGGGTGGGCGGGGTGGGTCGCGGGGTGGGCGGGTGGGTGGCGGGGTGGGGTCACGGGTGGGTCGCGGGCGGGTCGCGGGGTGGGTTCCGGGGTGGGTCGCGCGGGTGGGTCGCGGGTGGGGAGGGTGGGTCGTGGGTGGGTCGCGGGGTGGGTCGCGGGCGGGTCGCGGTGTGGGTCGCGGAATGGGTCGCGGGGTGGGTCGCAAAGTGGGTCGCGGGTGGGTCGCGGGTGCGTCGCGGGGTGGGTCGCGGGTGGGTCGCGGGGTGGGTCGCGGGCGGGTCGAGGGGTGGGTCGCGGGTGGGTCGCGGGTGGGTCTTGGGGTGGGTCGCGGGTGCACGTGGGTGGGTCGAGGGTGGGTTGATGGGTGTGTCGCGGGGTGGGTCGCGGGGTGGGTCGCGGAATGGGTCGAGGGTGGGTCGCGGGTGTGTCGTGGGGTGGGTCGCGCTATGTAGCCGCCGTCGTCGCCCCGTCGCCGCCTCGTCGCCGCCCGTCGCCTGGGCCGGTGTGGCTGTCTGGCGGTTATGTTGCCGCCGTCGCCGCCCCGTCGCCGCCTCGTCGCCGCTTGTCGTCTAGGCCGTTGTGGCGGTCTGGCGGTTATGTTGCCGCCGTCGCCGCCCCGTCGCCACCGCATATGTTAGTGCACAAATATTGCACAAGATGGACTTTACGACGCCGATTGCATCACATGTAGTCTCGTCTCTAAAACAATATCAGGATCTGCCCCCCAGGGGGTACACCTCTTCGCACAGCAAATTGCATACGATTCAGCCCCATCGTCCATCTTTAATATGAACCCATACCACCCCAGATGGGCCGGAAATCGCCCCCCTTCCATCTTTTGCCAAAAATGAATTGCGAGCGCACCCGTTTACAACAACTCATCAGTTTTCAAAAATCCGTTGGAACACATGGGAGGAAGTGCGCACGCGCGCGTCGTCGCGCGCATGCCGAAATCGTTGAACAAAAACCTTAGGCCTCGTCAGAAATCCGCTACTTGTACCGGAAAGCACGAGAAAAGAAACATAACAACAAACATGGCTTCGCATGAAGGGTTTTCAAACAAGCCTGCGCTCGCGCCCAGGTGACTTCTGAACCAAACAATCGTTTTTCCCTGAAAAGGCCCCGACTCGCGAGAATCCATTGCGAAAAACGGTACAAAAAGCACGCGCGCGCATCGTCGCGCGTCGTCGCGCGATTCGGTTTCTGAATGGATTTTGAAATACAAAAAAGCAAACGTGGTTTGCAACATCCGATTTCAAAACCAAAAACTGCGCGCGCATTCTGGCGAATTCCACAACACATATTCGATTTTTCAACACTGCCACGAAATTCTGCCGAACGGGCCGCTCGCGCGGCATGTCGAACTCATCCGAACGCCCTTGCGCGCGTAATGCCACGCGGGCCACTCGCGCGCGTCGGCCGCGAGCGCATGTCGAACTCCTTCTCTAACCTTCATCACCGACGCGAGGACATCGTCATCGTTATCGGCGGGCGCGATCAACATCGGCGCCGTCATTGGCCTCGCCGTCGTCATCGCCACCATCGCCACCATCATCGCTACTCCCATCATCGTGTCTACAGTCGTCGGCGTCGCCATGATCTCGCGCCCGCCAAAGCCACCGACTCGCACTGGCGTGCCCGCTTGTAGTGCCCAGCGATCCGCGCCATCGCAGCGCGTCGGTCGCGCCAGAATAGCTGGTCGCTGCGGGCGCGAGCATGCGCGGGCCAGCGTGGCCGCAGAGATGCGCCAGCCAACGCCAAGCACCCATCGCAATCGCCGTCGTATGGGTTTTGCAACCCAGGTTGCGCTTGGGTGGCGTGGGATGCTTGCGCTAGCAGTGGGTTGACAACTTCAAGTTCGGCAGGGCGAGTTGCACCACATCGGCTGCACAACATGGCTTGCTCCACATATATTGCCCCGCATGAGGTGCACAGCGTAGCTTGCACAACGTAGATTGCACCGCAATTGTTCTCCTTTCTAAAAGAAGAATAGACTCGACCCCGCCCCTGGAGTTAACGGTCCCCCCAGGGGGTTTGCGATTTCATATTTATTCTGCACACTCGTCCAACATATGAATTCATACTATCCCAGCCAGGCCGGTATCACTCCTCCCCGCCATCCTATGCACAAAGTCCTATGCGCGCACTCGTTTATCAAAGATCATAAACTTCCAAACGTCCCTTGCAACAAATGAAACGACATGCACACGTGCGCGTCGTCGCGCGCGCATGCCAAACATCCTTCAAAAACCGCCCGTGTCGGAAAGATTTCAAAATCGAGCTTCCCCAAAAAACTACAAAAACAGATGGCTTCGCAACACTGAATTTCTAAAGAAATTACGCGCGCGCTCGTGCGAAATCTTAAGAAAACCATCGGTGTTTCAATATTTCCCAAAACAAATACACTACCAAACGGGCTTCGCGTGTGCGCATGTCGAAATCGTTCGAACGCCCTTGCGCGCGTGCCGTCGCGAGAATCCTCTGCAAAAAATGTGACGAAGCGCGCGCGCGTCGTCGCGCGCGCATGCCGAAATCCTTCAAAAACCTCCGGTTTCGGAAGGATTTTAAAATCGAGTGTCCAAAAACACATACAACAACACAGGGTTTTGCAACACGGGTTTTCAACAAAAGCGTGCGCGCGCGCTCTTGCGTCGTCGTCGTCGTCGCCGTCCTCCCTCCTCCCTCGTCGTCGTCGCCGTCGTCGTCCTCTGTTTCCTCGTCGTCGTCGTCGTCCTCTTTGGCGTCGTCGTCGTTTCCGTCGTCGTTGTCGCCGTGGTCGTCCTTCCTCCTCCCTCGACACCGTCGTCCGTCGTCGGCGTCTCGTCGTCGTCCCTCCTATTTCGTCGCCGTCGTCGTCGTCGTCGTCGTCGTCTTCCCTCCTCCCTCGTCGTTGTCGTCGTCGGCGTCGCCATCCTCCCTCCTTCTTCGTCGTTCGCGTCGTCGCCGTCCTCCCTCCTCCCTCGTCGTTGTCGTCGTTGTCGCCGTCGTCGTCCTCCCTCGTCCCTCGTCGTCGTCGTCGTCGTCGTTGTCGTCGTCGTCGAAGTCGTTGGAGACGTCGTCGGTGTCGTCGTAGTCGGTGCCGGCGGCGTCGTCGTCGTCGTCGTTGTCGCTGTCGTCGTCGGTGTCGTTGCCAAGTGCCATTTGGTACCTACCGTCACGGTCTGAAGAGGTCTTGCGACCACGTTGCGGGTGGGAGGGTGGGATGTTTGCACGAGCAGTGGAGAGGACAGCTTCAAGACAGCCAAAGTGAATTTCACAACATAGATGGTGCAACTTAGATGGCGCCACATAGAATGCACCACACAGGCTGTACCACATAAGTGGCTCCGTATCTTTTGCGCAACATATATAGCACCACACATGTGTCTCCACATATGTTGCATCACATTGGCTGCTAAACATCGATTGCACAGCATATGGTGCACAACATGTACTGAACCACGTGCATTGCACCACACAGATTGGCCCACATGAATTGAACAACATAGATTGAGCCACGTAGGTTGTACCACATATGTTGCACCACAAATACTGCACCACATAGACCGTATATTCCTAGGCACACAACGTTTGGGGTCAAATATGGAGCAATGTAGCGTTCTCGTTTTTCCGGGCTTCCAACAGCCCATAACGGCCAAAAAGCCCCCGAAGGTTGCCCGAGAAGCCTCCAAGCGGGCCTACGCGACCGCCAGGAAATCCCCAAGAGCCCCAGGAGCCCTCAAGAGGGCCGAAAAGGCCCCAACAGACCCCCAAGATGTCCCAATCAGGCCTCAGAACAAGGCCCCCGAGAGGCCCTGGGAAGCCCTGAGGAGACCCTCAGAGGAAGTGTCCAGCAGGCCCTCGGGACGCATGTCAAGATAACCAAAGAGGCATCCAATCGCCTCTGGCCAACGATCCAGGCACGCTGGTGGTACGCGCTGACGGAACTTCAGTGGGGGGGGGCTCCAATAAGAGATGCCTTGCAACTACCCAGCCACTAATCATCCGCCAAGCGCCACCCACCAGCTTCAAATCCCGCGGCGAGCACACAGGCATGTGCCAGCGATGATGCAGTATGGAGTACTGGCCAGCGGAATGAGCGGGGCGCTGAAATTAAATGATGACGCGCGACCTCACCGGGTACAGCGTGTGAGATCCCCCGCACGGTCTGCAAGGAATGGTGTCTTTAACTCCTTTCACCAGCGCGCTTTTCCTGGCTACCCCTGCCTCTGCGCCCTCACAAGCCCTCCTAGGGTCCTCCCCGCAGCCCGCTCATTCCGCCGGCCCGAGGTCCTGGGCTGCGGCCGAGGCGCCCTCTGGCCACCACTTCCGTCCCAAAAGATCCCCCCCCTCCACGTGCTGGGCTTCCAGGCGCCACCAGAACCTCTCAGAGATCTCTCCAAGGGCCTAGTGGGCCGGTTTCGGAGGCCTCTCGGGGCCCTTTCCGGGCCGATCTTGACCGTCCTTCAGGCCTCATTGAGCCGTCCCGGATGCCTCTCCATCTCTGCTCGAATCACATACTCGAAAAAACAACAACAAGAAAGACACATAGTAAAGCACACAATATCATGACGATTCTGGCCTTCTCGCGCTTCACCGTGCGCATCTCTTCGAGCTCCCGTGCATCTCCGCGGGCTCTTGCGGCTATCTTGGAATATGCGGATGCTCTCTGCGGCCGTCCTCACAGCCTCTCGGGGCCCTCCTCGGCCGTCTGGGCGCCTTCTTGGCGCATTTTTCGGAAGTCTGGGGCGCCCCCAGTCCCCAGGGCTCCCTCCAGAAGCCAAAAACTAACCTGGACTGTTTCGTTTCCCCGCCAGCTTCCATCGTTCGCCCCACCCCTGCGACAGATGCACTGCAACATGGCCCTGAAATTTGGGTCGGGCATGTCCCCCTACAGGCGGACTTTCGACGAATATTAAAATATGTTCAAACCATACTTTGAAAAACACCCAAATACTAGAAACATCGCCCCAAAACAAAATCCTCCTGTAGAGGGACATGCCCGACTTAACCCAAGATGCCCCCTGAAACTCCCACGGAGAGCCCAAGAGAACCCCAAGAAAGCCCCAATAGGGCCCCAAGGCGCCCCTACATAGCCCGAAGAATACCTTGATACCCTCTCTGGCGGCGTCTTGCCCCCCCCCATCCCGCGAATCCCACAATCCAAAACTAGTGGGGCGGCGGTGTCTGCCCCCTCAGGGGCTTTCAGTGGAGTAAAATGATGACGAACGAAGCGAGCAAGCATAAGAACGCACCGACCCCTGTAGCATGAACGGTACAGAAGTGGCTTGACTGGCTGCATCCCTCCTGAACGCTCTGCCGCCACGAGAGAGAAAATGACAAACAGAGGTAAGGCCATCGTCCCACTCCATGATGGTGTCTATGAACGTCCTGTGGCCGACTCAAGCGGTGGCATGCTCGCTGACAAACCTCTCGCTTCTTCGCTGCGCTCCTTCTTTCCGCAACGCTGGCATCCTTTCGTTTCTAAGTGCATTTGGCGAGAGACACGACTAACAAAATCCTAAACAAGGGGATCTTTCCAAGCGTCCCGCCACACCCGATATCCTAGTTAACCCTCTCCACACCTACCATACCCCACCCCCGCTCGAGGAGGAGGGGGAGATCCCTCAACGGTGGCAAAACAACATCGTGTGCGGGTGTCATGAAACTTGCTTCATATCATCACTCGGACCGTTGCACCACCATCACGGATTTGATAGTTAGCCTGGCGAATGACCCAACCGTACTACAAAGGGGGTCGATGCCGCCCCCCCCCCAGGGGGCCATCTCCAGAATCCCCCCCCCCCGAACCCCCCCAAGGCCGGACACCTAAGAAAACCAAAGCAACGAAAACAAACGGAGGCCGCCGAGAAGGCGACTTGAAACTCCATCCGTCACGTTCCCTCAGTAATCTCATGGGGGGGATCTCGGGGAGAGATCTCGGGGGTTGGGATCGCGATGTGCCCGAACATCATACTCCCCGTCCTCATCCTCGCATGGTCGTCATCATCATCATCATCATCATCATCATCATCATCAGCATCATCATCATCATCACCAGCATCATCATCATCATCATCATCATCATCATCATCATCATCATAATCATCATCATCATCATCATCATCATCATCATCATCATCATCATCATCATCGTCATCATCATCATCGTCATCGTCATCATCATCATCATCATCATCATCAGCATCATCATCATCATCAGCATCATCATCAT